CCCTTCAGGTATTCGAAAGAGAATTGTTATATGAATAAACTATTAATTTACTAAACAAGCTCAAATTTTCGCCTGAAATGAAATGAAATATGAGCATGACCCCGGCATCTGATCGAAAAATAAATGGTACACTGGAGATAGCTTATTGTCTCAGCTACAACATACCCTAAGCTCAGAGAGAAAAAAAAGCTAAAACAACGGAGATATTGCTCGCGAAAGACGGAAATGTAGAATCCAGTTTTGAGAAAAAGTCGTGTCCCATAGAGAATACACGCAAAATGTGAAAAATAGACATGCCTCCTTTAATCGCAAAACATACGCCATGATGCACTTGTCAAAATGAAAAATCGTGATGACTATGTTTGTAGGAGGATTTCACTAACGCGCGCAATGCATCGCTAACCCTGCGCAGGGGCTTGAACCCATCGCAACCTCACCGAACCCATCGCACATGGACGATGAGTTGCTTATGGATTTCACTAAGCGCCTGCGACGGGTTAACCCGTCGCTAACTCATCGCAGCTTAGCGGATGCTCAAAGGGTGCTCGCAGAGCTGCGATGAGTTCGAAAACGTAACTTCCTGTCTCAAGGTCAAATACTGGCGCGAAAACTTTTATAAGTTTGTGTACACCGGTACGGTGTATGGAGGATTTCGGTTGTTTTGCAAGGTATTTTAATCATGGCTCGCCTTCTTTACATAAATAACGCGAGAGCACTTAATAGAGAGCGTGTTTTTAGGGATAGGACTAATCCATTGGATACATTAAACGATAAAAAGATGCACAAATATTATAGGTTTACGCGACAGGGTGTGATGAGAGTTATTGACTTGTTGGAGGAGAGAATTGCGCCGTTGACTCAGAGGAGTCATTCTATTGATGCGAGGTTGCAGATTTTCGTTGCTTTAAACTTTTACGCAACCTCAGATTTTTATTCCAGTGTACTGAAAGATCATGGTGTTTCAATTTCAACTGTTTGTAGAATAATTTCTCGTGTGACAAAGGTGCTTGCTAGTTTGAAAGAACAGGTAGTAACACGGAGGCCGGCGGGTGAGAAGCAAATGGAATTTTTGGAGTTGAGTGGCTTCCCGATGGTCGTCGGAGCCATCGACTGTACTCATGTATGGCTTGACGGCAGTCCACTAAAGACAACCGAATATGCGTACGTCAATAGGAAGGGGTGGCATAGCATCTATGTGCAATTTGTCACCGATGCAAATTACAACATAATCAACGTCAGTGCACGCTGGCCAGGGTCTGTCCATGGCTGCAGAGTATTGGAGAATTCTTATGTTGGGCAGGATTTCCAGCGTGGAGAATTGGAGGGAGTTCTCCTCGGTGACTCGGGCTGCCCCCAACGATCATGGCTCATGACCCCTTTCGCAACCCTCACGTAGTGAGAACTAGTTTGGTGTGATGGGGGCTTAGCTGCTGGTAATTGATTATCGACAACAGCACGTTGTAATACGTTCCTAGTAGGATCGAAGTACGACAATCAGTCCGTTTGTAGTACGTCCTCCTCGTTTTAAGTACGTTGTCACTCCGTCTATTTGCAGGACGAGGATAATTTTGAACAGATTCAAAGTTCTAGAGCACTCTCCCTTATAGCCAGTCCGAGCCCGTCCATGAAGTTCTTAAACAGATCGTTAACAGTTGCTACTAGATTAATCTCCGTTTGCACACAGTTTGAGCACGTTTGACAACATTTTACAGAACGTATTGAGAACTAGTTCGGTGTGATGGGGGCTTTCATATTCACATTTGTTTATGTTTCTTTCCTTAGGCCGTGGGACGACTTTTTCCGTTAACCTCTTATTAATGAATGAACTACAATATTTGTAATCCAGTCAGCATATATTACTTGTTGCTATGATAGGCAAGCCACAAGGAAGCTTTTAAGTTGTCAAGAACAATTACCTTTGTTTGAAAAATTATGCATTATATTTGAATATGTTATTAAACCGTTCTCTTGGTACTTGGTTTCTCTCTCGATACAGTTCCTTGTACCCTTTCAGCTCGCATGTCTTTCACTATTTTGTTTGTAGATGATCGAAGTAGTTTGTCTTGCTCTTTTTAATACTTCTTTATTGTTTGTCATGGTTTGGTTCCATGATTTTCTCTTCCTTTTTCTATCATACTTATACACCCACGTTTTGAATGATATGATTGTCTTTCCAACAGTCTTGGCTCCTCTCCACGATCCAGCATCGTAATTCAAAAGAACTGACCAAATGTAAAACTATCGTTTAAACAATTATTTCCAAATATACCAGCTAGAGGCTTACTCTCTTCCTCATCAGGTTATGCTTTATTAACTGCAACGTTTTGGTATCATTCTGATAATTTGCATTTGTTTTGTTGTTCTCGTGGTGGTGGTTATTGTTTTCCTTGCTGTTATTCTTGCTGTTGTGGTGAGTTTGGCCTTTGTCTCACCTTAAACGTTTGGGGTTGTCTATTTGCCCCCCCCCCCCCCCAGCGAGGTTCAGCTTTCGCTGCAAGTAGAATGATAAGGGACATGATTGAAATTGCCTCAATTTTTGTATTATTTTTTTGTACCATTTTGAGACACTTGTGAGATATAAAGAATTATCCAAATTGTTACCTGACTTGATCATTCTACCGTATATCATCTAAATCGCTCTTGGCTTAGGGGTGGACTGCCATTATCAAATCTATTTTTCCACCAGGTCGAGAGAGGCGAGGCTTTGTAAAAAAAGAGAATACGTTAAGAAGAAAAAAACAGATGCTAAGTTTTTATTTCTTATTCATTTATGTTTTAATCATATAACGAATCCATTTCCATAACACACCAGAAATTTAACAGACTTTGCCTCATAATTCTTTTTGAATAGAATTTCTATGATGTGGATTCTAAACTAATCGTTCTCTAAGGAAACCATCTACCATTAATATGGAGATGGCCACCCCAAAAATATGGTAGTTGAAATTAAGACGAAGTCAAGACATTGGTAAAGAGAAAATGAAAATTAAGGGGCGAAAGAAAAATGTGGGAATTTGGTGAGTTAAAGGTACTATGTCCCATTTGCATGCCAACAATAAGAAAAGGTTAAATTCCACCAGCATTTGAAAGAACTTCCCTCAAAACGAATGGGCTTGAAAGTGACTTTTAATGGGAAAATAACGACCAGTAGTTGTCGAATCGACTTAAGTCATTGCAATCACCTGAGTAATAGTCTGATTTTTAGACCCTTTTGCCCAATAGCCGTACGTTTTGTGCTGAACAAGATTCAATCAGTTTAATTTTGGCCATTACAAGTAGTGGGTTATTGATGCAGACAAATGCTCATGTACCTGTTACAGCTCATTTTATGTAGGGTTATTACCACCAAAAAAAAAGGATGTCAGTCAGTCACTCAATAGTGTCTGACAGTGAAGTCTAGAAGATAAACAGGTTTCCTTGCATAATTCGAATACTAGGACACTGCTTATGTTAAAATTTCGCAGATAGGACAAACATGACATTTTCATTTGTCCTGCAAAGTTCTACATGATGTGATGTCGGCTGCAAAAGGGACGTAGTATCTTTAAGCGTTGTGTTTATATAACTTCACGTCTACCTCCTTCGTTCTATAATAGGCAATTTTCGCAAACTCATTGCGGAATTAGAATCTGCGGTTCGTGTGCAAAATCGAAAAGTTACTATAGTAACAGTTGGATGACCGCTGAGGCCCTGAAATCTAGAACGGGTTTTGGCCAAATCTACGGGCGTTCTCAATGACGCCCCAAGTGAATCAAGTGCCTCGATACAAACTATTTCATTCACCTGATCATAATAATAGTATTTAAATAGACAGAATCCAATATGCATACATTAGTTGTTGCCACACCTAATACATGCAGTTTGCATTCTGACTATTGCGAATCCTAGACAGGTGAATGAAATAATTTGTATTAAGGAACTTCACAAAGACGTATGTATTAAATTTGATTACATTACGAAAATGGCCTGTTCCCTTCCACGCAATACAGTACAGACGGAACTACACGACTAGCACAACTTGTCTCGACCAAGCCACAAAACGGCTTTTTATCAAATTTCAACAATTTATCATCAAGTTTTAAAACAATTCATGTTATATTCATATTCATGTTGTGATTGTTCAGAAACAATAATCGGAAGAAAAATAACTCACCGAAGAGTCATTCGTGTCAGGGGTGGATCAAGGGGGGTTAGGAGGTTTAAATCCCCCCTTGGGCTGGCCAAGGTGCTTTCTACCCCCCCCCCCCCGAAATATTGGTTGGCACTTTTTTCAAATTGAAAACAAATTTTAGTGCTCCCTACCCCTCACTAAGCGAAATATTGGTCGTCGCGATTTTTCAAATGTCAACCCCCCCCCCCTCCCACGCCATAGAGAAAAGCTAGATCCGCCCGTTAAAATTCGTCATCTTTCGTTATTAGACGACGAAATTCTCATCACCATCTTTGGTACAAGCTCGCTGATTGGCTGTTTATTCACTTGGGGCGTCATTGAGAACGCCCGTAGATTTGGCCAAAACCCGTTCTGGATTTCAGTACCTCAGCGATCACCCTTCTTGATTTTGCACACGAACCGCAGATTCTCTGTCCGCAATGAGATTGCGAAATACCCCTAATGTTTGTCGAACTGGCAACAACTAATGTATGCTGTTTGGATTCTGTCTATTGAAATACTATTATCCTTATCAGGTGAATGAAATATTTTGTATCGAGGCACTTCACAAAGACGTATGCATTACATTTGGTTACATTGCGAAAATTGTCTAATGGCATTGCAAATGCCATACCTCCGTAGAGATACGTAAGCATTCACCGAAAAACGAAACCACGTATTGTATCGAGGACGGTCTGTGTGCGACGGCCGTAAACCTGAGTGCTCTGCGTCCGCGAAGGTCTGTTCGTTGCTGAGCGAAAACTCGCTACTAACACTAATACGTTGTGATAGTAATAGTTGTGTATAGCTGTATATAGCCCTTAATACTACGTTTATACGGGCTTGACATTGTACATTTATCACCCTGGTCATTGAATCCAATTGCTCATCGTTACATATTAGTGCACACGCTGCACTCCCCGGGAAGTATTCCGCAGAGTTTTCTCATCCATGTTTTACCCCTGTTCTTGATTTTGTTCTCATTCCTGCAGCTTTTCCACAAAACCTGACGTTCATCAGAAATTATACCTTTCGGTTCATAGACTTGAATGGCTTCAAGACCAGCCTGAGAATAACCCTAAATTCCAAGGAGAGGACCTTTATCTGGGTACCATGCCTGGAAATAAAAGGATGGTTCGAAGAACCTGACGACGAAAATATAAGTGTAGAAATAGACAAGAAGATATGCAGCACTATTACAGTGTTTTCCACTGCGGACATCATCGTTCATGGAATAGTCGTTGGTGGTGCCATCACTGGAGGTTTTCTCGCTCTCCCAAACGACTATCTCGGCAAGGAATACTTGATAGATGTCTACACACCACACAAAGATGCTCTACCACTGAATGCTCGTCCCCAAGCTGCAATAACGGCCATTAGCGACAATACTAGCGTGACGATCTATTGTGTTAGTTCCTGCACCATAGATGGACAAACAATTGATGGAAACATTACTTTAAACACGAATACCTCAGTTCTGTTGTCAACAGATGCCCTAGCAAACCTTACCGGGACACTGGTCCTCGCTGATAAACCAATCTCGGTTGTTGTTGGATCGACGAGTGTAGTAATACCGATGAAGGGGGGTCTAGACTACGGCGTCATCATAGAACAATTGATTCCTGTCTCAAAGTGGGGGCGTGTCCATTTTGTCCCACCCTTCCAGAATGCGACAAACGGATGGATAATCCGCGTTTCGGCGTTTTACTCAAACACCAACGTGACATTATCACAATGCGGAAACGACACTCTACAACACGAGATGCTTAGTAGCCAAACATATATTGATGTCAAAGTCGCTGAAAACGTGACCGAATCCGTTTGCATGATAATCTCAGATATGCCGGTCCAGGTTATGCAGTACATGGCAAGTTCTTCTACGTCTCAATACGGTGATCCTAGTATGACTTTGATTCCACCAACGCAAGATTTTCACGGGAATACCACATTGCGCGTTGAAAATACAAATCGTGGTATTTTGCAATTTGTAGATTTTATTACCACGAAGCGCGGGAAAGATAGTCTGAAATTGAACGGAACTGCAGTCAGCGACTTCACTGGATACTGCTTCAATCTTACCGAAGAATTGCCGGTCAAAGGTTATTGCTACTTTTATAAAATGTTGGACAATGGCGTGTACCATGTGACGCAAAGCGACCAATCAGAGAAGTTTCTTGTTCGACTTTATGCGCAAACAATTACACTTGGGGGAGCAATGCTGGCAGATTTGTCATTCCAAGAACCTGAAATTCTAAACGTTACTCCAGGTAAGTATCGTCTTAACTCCTTTTCTTGTACAGAATAAGAATAAAATATCTCTTGGAAATACGTTGCTCAAAAAACTGCATAGGTCGCCTTCGCTTCAAGGATTGCACAACTATGTCGCTGACGCTTTAAAAACTACATAGATCGCTGATGACGCTTTCAAGACTACATAGGTGGCTGAAGCTTCCAAAACTGCTTAGGTCACCTTATACATATCTATCCGTCTATATGTCCAATGCATGCTTCTGTTCTATTTGTTTTGTTTTTGTCTCGTTTGAAAAAAGAGGGAAAAGGGTGTTTACAGTTTCTCCGCTTGTTCTAAGAGAGCAACATCGGTCGAAACAACTAGCAAGAAATTACATTACGACTCAACTACCTCGACAAGACTTAGAAAACTAGATCAGGCGTAAATAGTCAAAGCTGACTGAACACCACAAATAAAACCAGCAACAACTGCATGTATGCATCAAAGATTGCATAACTATGTCGCTGATGCTTCAAAGACTGCCTAATTATGTCGTTAACTCTGTCCAATATGATAGACAAAATGTTAGTGCATTAGTGCATTTTGTTTTTTCCAGGTCTCTTTTGACTCTTTTGTTTTCTTTCCATGAGACCGGTTCACTAAAGCCCCCATCACACCAAATTAGTTCTCACTACGTTTTGGAACCGTCCTAGAAAATCGTAAAACGGGTTGTGGTCGGAGTAGATTTGTAAATAATGTCTATAATACGACCCTAGTTCGTTCATAAACAGTCCTCAATACGTCCATCTCGTTTGTACCCCGTCCACAGTCAGTTCATATCAAGTTCAGATCGCGTAAATTTGCCGTTTCCAGGCAGTTCAAGCCAGTCCGTAGTCAGTCTATACCCGTTATTAACTAGTTCTACCAAGTCCAGAGACAGTTCCGCCTTTTTTCAGCTCGTTCTTCGTGCGTTCGGACGCGCTCCTAGAGCATGTGGAATCGCGTCCTGGCTCAATGGTTATAAAACCCCAGCGCGTTCTTGCCATTCCTTATTCCCGTTCAACTTCAACGCGTCAAGCTCTGCAAATCAAGACATTCAAGTGAAACACCCATCACACCAAACTAGTTCTTCCTACGTTCTGTAAAATGTTGCCAAACGGGCTCAAACTGTGTGGGAACGGAGTTAACGTTGGATCAACTGTTTACGATCTGTTTAAGAACTTCATGGTCGGGATCGGACTGGCTTGGACGGGAAGGGTGCTCTAAAACTTTGAGCCTGTTCAAAATTTTCCCGTACTGCAATTAGACGGAGTGACAACGTACTTCAAACGAGATGGACGTACTACCAACGGGATTGCCGTACTTAGATCCTACTAGGAACGTGTTACAACGTGTAATGGTCGAGCATCAATTATCAGCAGTATAATTTAACGAAAATTAAGGATGGCAAAAACGCGCTGGGTTTTATAGCCCTCGAGCCTATAGGGGCGCGTTCGAACGCACTAAGATCGAGATTAGGACGAGTTGAACTGTCCCTGAACGGGATGGTCGGGTTACAATCTAGTTAGAACAAGTTGTGACCTAGTTAGAAAGGTTTGGACGTATTGGGAACGAGGTAAAAACTGGTTTAAACTGATAAAGGACGGGCATGGACTGCTGAGCAATGGCAAATTTACCCGATCTGAACTTGATAGTAACTCACTGTGAACGGGGTACAGACGAGATGGATGTATCGAGAACTGTTTATGAACGATCTAGGATCGTATTAAAGGCATTTTTAACACATTCTACCCCGACCATAACCCGTGTTTACGATTTTCTAGGACGGTTCCAGAACGTAGTGAAGACTCCTTTTGTGTGATAGGGGCTTAAACTGCTGCTAATCAATGCTCGACCACAGCACATTGTAACGCGTTCCAAGTAGGATCGAACTACGGCAATTCCGTTCGTAGAACGGCAATCAGTCCGTTTGTAGTACGTCCTCCTCGTTTTACGTACGTTGCCAATCCGTCTAATTGCAGGAGGAGGAAAATGTTGAGTTCTAGAGCACCCCCCCCCCCCAGTCTGAGTCCTAAGCCCGTAAATTAAGTTTTTAAACAGATCGTGAACAGTTGCTACTACGTTCAACTCCGTTCGCACACAGTTTAAGCCCGCTTGGCAACTTTTTCCAGAACGTAGTGAGAACTAGTTCGGTGTGATAGGGGCTTAAGGCGTCCCTGCGACGGCCGTAGGTTTTCGACAAAATATTTAAGGCAGACGCAAGGTAGCCGCAAGGTCACCGTACCCCAGACGTATGGTCGCCGTGGAACTACTCTACGGCATGACTACGGTGTGTATAATTGTATAATTGCTACGGCGAACCTAGAATGAAAAAAATTATAACTCCACGTTATAATCCCACGGCGACCCGTACAGCCTGTAAAGAAGGGGATATGCCCTAGTGTGACCCTGAGGCCACCACGGATTCTCTTTTGCATTAAGAAAATAAAGAAATACAATATATTTGTTTAGATTCTTTGAGATTGTTTTGGTCTCTGGTGATCTGTTGTGCCTTGCAGTAACATCGTAGGAGTTTCAACTTTTGAAATGCCGAGGTCACACATATAAGAGCCTATGAATGTCCATTGTTTACGTTTTGTATCATAATTCTTTTCTTTGTAAACTTTGTCTGAGCCTTCAATTGACTGGTGAGCGAAACAAAAAAAAAGTATTTATCGTGGAATACGATTGTGCAAAATTCAGATGTTGATCATGTTAATACATAGTGTTGTATTATGTAGAATAAGTATACTTTCTTTGTTTCTTTTCCAGTTTTATCAATGACCACAACTATGCAGCCAATAACAACACCTAGTAGCATCTCACAACTTTGTAAATGAATAGGTTTATACACATTTCACAATTATCAGTGACTTGACTGATTAGTACCAAAAAATGAGCCCGTGAAATGATTCCTTGAGATTGTGTGTGTCTCTAAAGATATGCTGTGCCTTTGCATTTATATCGTAGGAGTTTCAACTCTTACTCTGCCGTGGTTACATATGTGAGAGGAACATTGTACAAAAAGTGAATGAAACATTAGCAGTGCTAACAATGCGTTGTATTACCGGTCTATATGTTTATTATGGGTTAATTGCCTTCAGAGGGGTAATAAGGGCAGATATTGACGCAATCGAGGTGACGCCTCGACTGCAACGAGTGTTGAAATAAGAGACCTTGAAGTACTGTTGGAACGCAGCTTACTCCCGAAATAACTGCTGCTGAATGTTCTTTTGAGTAATTCCAACGAATCAGTTTCATCAATTTACCTCAAGTAAATCTCATCAATTTGTCCCAAGTAAATGGACCCATTTTCTTTTTTAAAATGACATGCTTAGCATCCTGCCTAGAATCGGTTATCACGGGTACCTTTGGAACCCTGAACTTTCCCGCTACACCTCTGGACCAGACCGCTGACAGCCAAGAACGGTGTAGTGAATACAGTAACAACAGTAAGTCGACAATCAGTTATGTAGCATGGGTTAGCCATTGAGGGGGAGGGGTGGCATCGATCGGCCTTACGTAGTGGATGGCCAATGGGAATTTACTAGGTATAGTAACAAGGCCATCGATGAGGGCCTGAAATGGAGTCATGGCATCCCTTTCTGTGACACCGTACTCCTGTAGCTACATCTCTGATCACATCACAGATAATATTTAGGGATATTTAATGAAATTTCTCATAATTAATCTTAATAATTTGAAGAAATTTCCAAGGCATGGGCATATAAGGCGAAGGAGGGGGTTGCAGCCCTTTGATAATGTTGAAAGGACTATTATTCGGACAGTGATGTGGTGTCTTGGTAGGGGTGGGTCAGATTCGTCTTTATATAGGTGATGCATATCATCTTCTTTGCATTTTACTTCCCCTTCGTTTCCTGTTCCTTCATTTTCTAGTTTCCTCCTTTCTTTGTCTCCCTTTTTCTCATTCGATTAGGTAAATTAGTCACTTAAAGTCATACACAAACATATGTATTTATTGTAGCCCCCCTACCAAGAGCTAGACGGACATGTCGTGGGGATCTCTTGTCGGCAGCTGTCTGGGATGATCCCGTGTTCCAAGACTGCTATGTGGGAGAAGATACTAATGAGGTTTTGGACAACATTGCAAGGGTAAGAAATTAAGTTATTTTAATTTCGTACTCTTTCGTAATAGTAGTAGTAGTAGTAGTAGTAGTGGAAGTAGCTGAAGCAGAAGAGGAGAAAGAAAAAAGAAGTATAAGGAGGAGGTGGAGAAGAAGAAGAAGAAGAAGAAGAGAGAGAAAGAGAGAGAGGGGAATGGAGTGAAAGGGCATTAGTTCGGCTTTAAAAAATGTTGCACTGGATGCCTTTTGTCCCAATATCGAGCTGCTTGCGTCATCAAAGCCCCAACGAATAATTATCATTTTTATCATTGTTCATCAGCACACTTACGCAAATGTACTCCACGGACAGGGGGGGGGGGGGGACAATTAGCCGGTCGTTCCCCTAGTCCTGTGTCCAACTGGTGGCAAACCTTTTTAAGTACACATCAAGAATTGGTCTCTCCAATTCTATTTTCGGAATTTACCCTCTTGCAAGATATGACTCCGTTTCTGGGTGAAAATGCTTCTCTCCAATTACAGGCAGTTGTGACATCAGAGAATGTGACCAAATATTCTAACGACGTTGCTGAAGCGACCGCGAATGTCTCCGATATCAACGCGGAAGGTCTCCGAGCCATCTCCGATGCTCTGGAGAAAGTCGTCAACGCCGGGAACTCATCGACAGAGGTAATAACACAGATTTTCCGTGATCCGACAAAATATTTGTTGGCGACATCAAATATTTTTTATTTAGGGCTTGCATAGGTTACGATTAGAATTAGATTAGGTTAATGGTTATAGGATAAGGGTAAGGTAGGTTTTGGTTTGGATCCATGGTTCAATTTAGGAATTTGATTATTAACTGTCAATCTATTGTCGCCGGAAAACTATTATCATGAATTAGTTCTGTCATGACACATTACACATTTTACGGTTTTAATGTGTATACTTCTGACGCCGAACTCAGACCCAGAGAGGTGTACTTGCAGAGTTAACTTCACGGCAAATGCCTCTTTCTGATTGCGAAAACCATGTGAAAGCCATTCTTACGACTTTGTCCACCAATTTATAATTTTATATTGTGTTTTGCGACACAACCCACCCCCGACAAAAGTAGTATTTAATGGATGTCCAATGCACTTGAATATTTTAAGATAAATACTGTGAGAATTTCCAATCAGAGCTAGTAACCTTTGGTGAGGTATTTATAATAATTAATTTCGGGTCAGGAAAAACCAATCAATTAACTGTTTTCTATCAGGTCACCAACAACACCTTCCGGATCGTCGACAATGCTCTCGGTGCTCCCGACGAGGAGTTTGTTAACGCCGTCGAGTTCCAAACCTCGAGGAGGATTCTCGATTTATTGGAGCAACAGGTCACCCTCTTCCAGACCCAAGGCGACGGCAACAACCTCACCATCGTCGGAAGGAGCGTAGCTGTAGTGGCCCTCCAGATCCCAAAGGCCAGTCTGTTGGAGGGTTTCGGGTTCGCTACCCTGGCATCGCCGGGCGGTGAAGAGAAAAGCAACGTGCTCAACGAGCTGAATGAAAATAAAACGATGGTTTACTTCTATCCGGACAACATCCCGATGACAACAATCGATGCAACCATTGTTTTGCCACCAGACATTCTTGGACTTTTGCCTCCATATTTATTAGGTGCAATACACTACATGTTACAAACCCAAACATTACATACAATTGCATAATGAAACCGTCACCAAACTAGAATGTAAACTACAATCATGAACTTTAAATTATGTTTCCGTCAATTCGATACAATGAACATTAATGAAATCTATTTGCAATCATTCAAAAAACACGAGGCTTAGGTGGTAGGTGAGCAGTTGTTTTCAAAGCGTGAATCCATTTAGCAACACACGTTCCTGTATGTTAACTTGTGTATTGATAATTAATAGTGATACTGTCAGGTCTACTGCCTAAACAACGACAACAATAACAACAACAGCAGCGATAACAACATACATAAAACTCTGATGAAATTAAGAGAACTTTATATGAGACAAAAAAAGTTAAATTAATCAGTAATTTTAATATGTGAGAAAATGGGAATAGCCAGTTTGAATAACGCGTACACCCTTTCTTGAAAGTCCCTGAAAAGCAATTCTTCTCCCATCTTCTCTACCATTCAGAAAATGGAACTGTTCCAGTGACTTTCTTCATATTCCAGACCAGTAAGCTCTTCTTAAGTCCAGACCAAGAATACGATCTCGGCTGTGGTCGTCGACTAGCGGTCGGCACCCGGGTAATATCAGCGACCGTGGAGGGTGCGGTCATTGAAGGTTTGCCGCAGGGTGGTGAAGTGGAGACAGCCTTCCTTGAACTGGATGTGAGTTCGTTTGATTCATTAAAAAGAGCAGCGGAAAAACTGCGTGCTTTAATCAATCTGAAATGATTTATTTACTCTCCACACGTCATTTATGAGAGTCATTTATGAAATACTATCTACAATTTCTATTTCAAATATAAAACGCAAAGGGCTAAGATATTACGCTAATGCAAGGTCGTGGGTTCGAACCCCCCGGCCGCGTCATACCAAAAGACGTTAAAAGGTGAGAGTTGTTGCTACCTTGTTTGGTGTTCAACAATAAGGGATAGAGCAACGTCGATCTGGCGCTGCTCAGTGGCTGCCGGGCTCACGATCAATTGGGCAAAAAGAATTTCCGTGAAGTGGACTATTAGGCTATTATTATTATTATTATTATTATTATTATTATTACACACGGGGCGTCATTTCGATTACGTCATTACCTGCACTTTTACCCCCGTGCGTCAGGCACATGACACTTTTGTGCAACAGGTATTATGGCCATTGCACACATGGCATAATTTCCTTAATACCCCCTTCACATACACGGATTTTTCTTACGAGTCCTTACGGATCGCATATATTCACGGATCTTTCACGGATCCTTGCGATTTGGCCACACTTACGACCGATTTAAGATTTGTTACGAGTTTTTACAAGCTATTTATGGTTTATTACGGATTATTATAAGGTATCACGATGTATTTATGGCGAAGTTACACGATTTGTTACGAGATGTCACGGATAATTAAGAGCAACGTACGTGTTAGTTACGACCTGTTTACATGTTGTAACGAATAGTTACGAGTTAGTTACGAGTTTTTATGAGTTCCTACGATTTTAGCCAAAAAATAACAAGTGAAAATTAAGTGTTGGAATTTGCAGCTTTTATACCTTTCCCCAAATCGTAAACAATACGTAAGAATTCGTAAAGTATATGTATCTATTCGTAAATACTCGTAACTACACGTAAAGTGCTCGTAATAATTCGTAACGACTCGTAAAGCCATCGTAGAACGACCCGAATGAAATCATAATCAAAATTACGTAAACAAACTGTAAACTTACCGTAACAAATCGTTAACAAAATTGTTACGAGCGGTGTACGATGCTTACGAATTGTTACAAGCTATTTACGAGTTATTTACGGAAAATCAATCCGTGGACAATCGTAAGAAGATTTTCGACATGTCACCAAATTTGCGTCTCTTTTCACGGATCCTTAAGAGTGTCTGCGATTTGTTGCGAGTTGTGACTACTTCTTTACGGATACCAGCGAGTTATTTAAGGATGCTTGCGATTGACTACGAGTTGGCGATCCGTAAGGACTCGTAAGAAAATTCCGTGTATGTGAACGGGGTGTAACGTGACAATTAATCGGGCCTATGTAAGCAATTTGAACATACGACATGCAGTCATTGCACATTTGTACTGCTCATTTTAAATAACAATCTCTCTTTGTACGATGTCATGTTCACATGGCGGCCCGTTCAAGGCCGCGCACTATTCGCTGACGACTCGTATGTAACGGGTTTACTCCCCTGTCCACACGAGGCCATATATATAAGAAAAGCCTCGATTATTATTGCATTATAGGCCCCTAGAAACAGAGACAAGCACGCATGTGGTACGTCAAAAATGCACTCATTCGCTTAATTGTGTAGAAAACCGCGAGTCAAATTTGTTGACCAGTTGAGCGTCAAATTTCAAACAAAGTCAAAATTTGACTTTTAGCTGAACAACCGCTGATCATGAGCCAGATCTTACTTTTTTTTTATTCATGCGCCTATTGTCAACCTGAAATATACGGAACTAATCAGTGACGGCACGTTGCTCGATAGTGGGTTTAGGGAACCTTACTCCATACAGAAACCCAATAATAAACAGCGCCCTCCCCCAACAAAAAAATATTTAAAAAAAATACTGTATCTTTGTTCAACATTTTACCCCTTTATTTTTTTGTTGGATCGATCCGCCTTTGGATTGTGTGTCTGCTTCGTCCTGCTCCATACAGGTGACTCGAGACAGTGAGGCGGTGGATAACAGGACGTGTGTGTTCTGGGATAAGTTTGATCAAGGAGGTCGATGGTCGTCAGAAGGATGTCGACGAGAAGACAACCCCGACATCAATAGGATACGATGTCTTTGTGATCACCTGACAAGCTTTGCCGTTTTATTGGTACATTATTATTTCTTTTCATGTCTTTTAATTTCATTTTTAAAAAAAACACATGGTAAATAGTTGCAAAAAATAGCTATCTTCGTAGAAGTGTCACCGTGGAACACTTCTCGGTATTAGAACCGCTATCGTATATTATACCTTGAATCGCGGTTATTACAATCCATGTTACTGTTGTTCATCTCTCTGCCGTGAATGGACTTACAGGGTTTAGATTTCAGGGTCATTACAGCGGTAAAGAATTGAACAGTATCACCACCAGAGTGTGATGTAGGAACCTAAAGCCCGTCTGCACTAGTTTGGCCAAGGAGGATTATACCACCCAGCATGGTCACTGACAGGTGGTTATCTCTTCAACTCAGCTCTCAATTAACATAAGAAAAAGAGGGTCATGGGGGACCGACGGGCACCGCCCAGGCATTGTTTTTTATATAGAGGGAGCAAGTATCTACAAGTAGTGCAGTGGGGCTTTAAGACATGTCGAAAATAGAGGCGGCGTAGCAAATTGTTTAAACATTTGACTAGTGATACGAAGGTCGTGGGTTCGAGCCATCGTGCGGCACTATTGTTCAATTTAGACATAAATCTTTATTTGCTTCTCTTTACCCAGGTGTTAAATGGGTATTGATATGGGAAGGAATTCCTTGAGTGTACCGGAGTCGACAGGCCTCGCCTAGTTCGAGCTTGGGTAATATTGGAGTGGCTTGGATAGAGTACGTGGTAGATGTGAGCGCTGTAAAATATTCAATATTACATGGATCATTCATTTGGTGTACCCGTAAACATGTATTCAAATTAAAGTGATTAAATGTGTGTGTGTCTCTCTCTCCCTCTCTCCCTCAATGCTTCATTCGTTATTTGTAGGATGTATCAGGAGATGTGGGCCTCTACGTTTTAGATGTGGTAGGTATGATCGGCTGTATCATCTCCATCATATGCCTAGTGATTACACTTGTTACCTATCTGAGCATGAAGTAAGTGATCTTTCCTAATATTCCCTCTGACTCATCAAACGTCAATATTTTACATACTTGTGTATTCTTTGACTAACAATTTGGAAATCTTGAGAACAGCTTAAACCCGGGTTTGAAGCGGTATTTTGAAACGTTTCCTTTAAAACAAAGTATTATTTTTATCAAATATAATATTTCAAAGATTATTTAACCGATCTGTCGTCATGTAAATGGATAGGAATGGATAAAGCTATAACAAAAGACAGGCCTACTATTACTCAGGAAATGACGAAACTTTTAATATGTGGAATAAGTTACTCATTGAATTACTTTCATATGAGTAAATAAAATGTGATCGATTTTTATTAATAGCAGTATTATCGTAAGCAAAAATGATGGTTATTCTGCAAACACAATTTGGCAGGAATTGACAAAACTACAAAATTTCAAGTTGTATATGAAATTTTGCGACTTTAAAATGTTGCATTTGTAGGTCATATGCCAGAAGAACAATTTATATGGGTGTAAGTCTGCGTTAATTGAATTTGACAGCACTTTTCATACTTGATAATTATTATCTTTCGCTTGTGAAACTTTTCGGAACTGGACAAAATTCTGAAGCAGCTCCCTGAAATGTATGCTAAAATCATATTGAGTTGTTCCCAATCCCCAAAGCTTTAGATGTTTTTCTTTTCGACATTACAATCTGGACATTACGAGAACAAACCCCCGAAAGGTAACATCCACGAGGTAGATGTTCTTTTTAGGGACCATGCTGCCATCATGTCGGCCCGTATCATTCTACAAACTGTAAACGAATATTGATAATCACCCTTTTTAATATAAACAGAAAACTACGCTCGAAGCAACCTCAGCGGATCCTGATTAACCTTTGCTTCGCGCTTCTCGGGCTCTATCTCGTGTTCGTCATCGGTATCGACCGCCGTTACACGACCGCGGGTTGCGTGGTGGTCGGTTTTCTCATCCATTTCTTTCTGCTGTCGTCGATGTCGTGGATGTTGGTGGAAGCTATCAATATGTACCTCCTCTTCGTCAAGGTCCTAGCCGCCACCGTGTCTCATTTTATGCTTAAGGCCGCGCTTTTTGCTTATGGTGAGTGTCTCGGTCTACTAAGAAAATAATGTGGGGGTGTCGTGGTATAGAGAGTTGTTTACTTGACTCGCAATCCTAGGGTTAGGGATTCAAGACCGATCCCAGCATCATGGTCCTTTGGCAAGACATTAATCAACACTTGCCACTCTCCACCCAGGTGTAAATGGGTACCTGGCAATTGCTGGGGGATACTAATTTAATAATTACACGACCTTCATGAAGAACAGCATTGAGGCTGATGAAAATTTCCTGTTTAAACAAAATTATCATTATTATCAGATTTTTAAAGGACATGTAAACTAGTGGTTACTTCCCTAGCGCAAACGATCTGAAAAAACTTGAAAAAAGTTAACATTCAGGCAGCGGGAAGTCAGTCTTCTTGAGAAAATTAGACCCTTTCACCTATATTGATTTGTTGACATCTTTAAGTCTTTCAGATAATATATTTTTGTTTACAGGTTTGCCTCTTCTCGTGTGTGTCGTAACAGTAGCATTTGATAGCTCCCTCTACTTGGGAGACGGGACTTAGTAAGTTAAATATTTAAATTTTCTCATAAATCGTCATCTTGTTTTAAAGGCATAATAATATTTTTGAAAACGATGTTGAAGGTATCCAATTTCGCCATTTTGTATTATTCATGGAAAATGTGTCGGCCCGTGTAGTTTCATTGTATGTGCAATTATTGATGAGTTGTTTTAATCTTAAAAACCTATGTCGACAAGTTCGTCATTTTACGTCTTTTCATGGAAACTGTATAGGCCCTTTGAGCATGTACTTATTTCAAAGTAATAATGAATTGTGATTTATTTGCTTCTTGTTGAGTTGTCACTATCGCTATCATTATATGTGCATTATTGTTATTATTATCAATCTTATAATTCGTCAATATTTGTTGAAGAGAATAACACCGTGATAAGATGGCCTCTCTGTTCTCAAACTTAAGTATGGTGTGTTTTTCTCTCTTCGCTTAACAGTTGCTTTGTCAAGCCGGGTCCAGCCCTGTATTACGGCGTCTTACTCATCGTCGCTCTCTTACTTGCCGCCAACTTCACCATCTTTAGTATCGTCATGCAACGCTTGTCATGCCGCAAATCCGTCGCTGACAACAAGACCAACCAAGCCAGTCGCGGTGAGATGTGGCGACGGGTCCAGAACGCCGTCGCCATCTCTGTCTTGCTCGGTCTGACATGGTTGTTCGGTTTCCTCGCCATTGGTGGTGCACGTGTTGTCTTCAACATCCTCTTTCTCGTCTTAAACTCCCTCCAGGGGTTCCTCGTCTTCCTCATGTTCTGCGTCCGGCAGAAGGAGGTCCGTGAGCAGTGGGTGCGATGGATGCACTGCGGTCAGCGTCGCAGCGACGATTTCGTCAGGGCAAAGTACAAAAAAACTGGGTCGCAGGATGGTCGCACGTCCTTGGCGACTTCGAGCAGGCAAGATATCCAACTGTCAAGTAGAGGGACAGTCAGCACCGATGCCACATTGTGACTTCCAGGAAAGTAATACATTTGACATGAATAGATTGTTAGACCAGCTGACCAGTGAAAAACACGAGAATAAAATGGGATTGATAGTATTTTTTAGTAATATCCTTATATGAGCTTTTTAAATTCTATAATCATATCATTAGTGATTAATGTTATTTAATCATACAATGTTGTTTATCGAAAGCGAAAAATTATGTATAGTTAAAAAACGTAATTCTCATTTAATTCTATATTTTTGTTAGGTCTATGATTCAGCCAAAAGATTAAAATTAATCTAAAGGCTTACATGAACGTTAACAAACATGAATCTTACCAGAAACTTAACCGCTATCAATTTCATTTATTTAGTTGCTTCAACGATTGAAATGTTGTATTGTGCATAGAGAATAATAAGATTTATGAAAAAATATATCCTGCTCCAGCGCTTACCAAGAAAACAAAGCAAGTTACATCAGCGATTGTTTGCTGGTTTCAGTGCAGTTTAAAGAATTGTCAAAGCTAATTACCGTGTTTTAGCTAACTTTGAATCGTTGAGTGTCTATATAGGACACTATATGACGTGTATTGTGCTGCGCTGATATTGATGAGCTAATACATTTACGCTTGCAGTTTGTAGTTTGAAGTTTTTAAATATTTTTTATACAGGCGGATAAGAGTAGATTTCACATTTTAAAAAATTAAAGATTTCAAATGAAGTAAAATGTACGGAAAATAGGTCGTACAAAGTTTTGAAATATACAGATGTGACAGGCAAGGTAAAACAATGTTAAATGTGGGGAGCATAAATAAAAAGCATAGCTTGTATGCGAATAGGCTCCCCTACTGAGTATTAAAAAACACAATATAGTAGGTCGGAATTTAAAAGGTATTATAGAAGGCGAAAACGGAGTAGTATAGTATGAGATCCTGGAAACGTACAAGGAGAGTGAACTTGAGAAGAAAAGAAAAATAGAATGAATTCGTCACTTGGACGAATTAGGTGATACGTATGATATTGGTTTACATAACGAAGAATGCATTACACGATATCATATTATTTTATAAAATGCTCCTCCAACAATGATCTATCCATATGTCAAGTTTAAATTGTGTCGATCCCTTGATCATTATGGATCTAGGGAAGATAGATTGAAACAATATATGACCATTGACTCTGTGCAGTAACCAGTTACACCTTTGACTCTAATTTACATCATGACGAACGCATTTTGACGACTTTATCTTATTTAAAGAAATGAAAATGTAATTGATAAATAAGAGCTTATGCCTGAAAAATTAAAAGTGAATAGTGTAGGACGTCACGATGTCCCGGCGTAAATGAAAAGTCAAAATTAATGTGGGAATACATTAGCGATCATTTGGAGTTGACGTGAAATTCGCTAGTTGCTTGAAAATAAAGTCTTGAAATATCGGATGGATATATACTGTCACTGTATAAGGAATGTGGATTAGAGGGATATTGATCTGTCGGTCTTTCTCGAAGGCTTGTCAATTAAAGGAATACAAAAAATTGAATGTATTGCGCTCAAGAAATTACATACAGCATTGCCAGTAAATTTCACGAGATCTATGTTAAAATCTCCCATTATATAAACCTGTTTATGTTCAATATAAGTTTTCTGTAAAACATTTCAAAGACAGGGATGAAATCATTGATATTTGATTGGGGTTTTCTATATATGACACCTACAATAATTTTCTTATGTCTCGGCAAGTTGCTTTCAACAAACAGTGATTCATAATTGTATGATGGGTATAATATAAACATATCATTGCGTATTTCATATTCAAAATTGTCAGCGACCAATAGACCAACACCTCCACTCTTTCCTACTTGGCGATTAGAATGTATAAACGAATAACTAGACACATTGAATAATAGTGGCGTACTGTCATTGATTCAAGTTTCAGAGAAATCTATACACAACGTACAGATGAAATTGGATAAAGCATTATAATGTATGTTTAAACTACGCGAATTAAAATGTAAAATACTAAAATGATAGTCAATGTTACTGAATTCAGTCGTAAAATCCTCATCAATATAATATTTACAGTTCAGAAACCTACTGAAATGAAACTCATATTCTTTTTCGGATAAATAGTTTAAATCATTGATATCAGTATAAGTATCTGTAGTATTACTACCAAATATTGCATGAAGTTCAATGAGAACAGAGTGGGTTATTAATGTAGCCAAATGCTCATGTTCCCTATAACGCTCATTTTATGTATTTTATTACCAGAGAAAAAAAAAGATGTTAGTCAGTCACTCAATAGTGTCTGACAGTAAAGTCTAGAAAGTGAAAGGGTTTCCTTACATAATATGAATACGAGGACACTGCTAACGTTTAAGTTTCACAAATAGGACATACGTGACATATTCATCATTTCAACATTCAACTGAAAATTGTGACATGATCTCATCATCTGATCAAAAAACTAAAAAACCGTTTTTATAGCCCATGGTCTCAGCTATAACATACCCAAATTTGGGAGAAAACAGAGCACAAATAAGATAGATAGTGCTCAAAGAAGAATGTCATGTAGATTCATGATGTGAACAAATTCACCTTCCATAGACATAACACGCAAACTAAGAAAATTCTGACATGGGCCTTTAATCGAAGTTTGTACTATGAGGACATCATTAAAATGAAAATAAATTTGTATTAATCTTGTAGACAATTGCCTCGACTACAATATATTAAAATGTAGAAGAAAATTGATGAATATTGAGAGAAATACACACATTTTTCCATAAATATAATGACGTCTTTGATATTAATGAGCTCTTTTCCACTTGTTAGCATAATATCGCGATGGAAGAACAAAATTGACATTGTGTTTTTATTGACTATGTATGATCGAATCTCTTTGGACGTGAGAGATCGTTTTGTAGGAACGAGAAAAATCCTCCCGATCGAACTCAATTTCAATGTTTGCTGTGTAAATAATGTGGGATTCCAAGGAGCCTCACGTTCAAATTCCAAGTATTCATCCTCTGTAACACATCAAAGACTGCTAATTAAGGCATGATTAATTCCAAAGTAGTCATTTATGATGATATATAATTCTGCGTATTAGCACACAAAAAATTGTTATTATCGGAAAACACACTACATAAATTAAGATAGCTCAACAGGCTGATGATATGACGATATGTACAGGGCGTAAAATCCGGATAGAAGGAAAATAAATATGATTGAAAAAAAATAATTCTTGGAAAAAGGAGGAATTTTAAATTTGTCATTTTCAAAATTAAGTTATACAGCTCAAGTTTTGTCATGATGAAAGCGTATGAAAAGTTATTTTACAATTTTCATGGGGTAATAGAGCGAAAGTGAACAAGGAATACATGATAAATACTCATCAAATGGAGGTATGAATATGGTTGACGTGTTTTCACATTTTATGTATTTAGATGGTTAAAATTGTTGTGTAGTTTCCAGAGTTTTAAAAAACTCCATGAAAAAAAGGAAAATGCACTATTGTTTTTTAGTATTTGATTCTTATCAAGTGGGATCCTCTGAGGTTATCTAAATTGAAATATGTTCGTGATAATTACTTGATTTAATTCAGCTTTAAATTTACGTATAATATTTTACAAACACCTGTTAATTTATTCAAATGGAATCTCAAAGAAAACGATATGTGTTTATACTGTGACAAAACTGGTACCACAATGCATGTATTTTTTTAATGCGCAAAAAGTTTTATCCATTTTGCAATGTTATTGAAATGTTATTATGTAATTCATTTTTTAGAAATTTTAAATTCTCACCCATTTGTATGGTACACTGTAAAAAAAATAATAGTCGAAATAACTCAATAAAATTGAGGAAAAGAATTGCCTTATTTTTATTAAGTAAATATTACCTACGGCATCTTAAGTAGAATTTACTTATTTTGCTGAATAAATTTTTACTGTTAAATCGAGTTACATTAACGTAAATAATTTAAGTATTGTAATCATTTTAGATAATTTAAAAAAAAGCTATGATAGGATTACATATTGCACGATTTGGTACCCATTACTAACACTACTTCTATTTAAGATTTAACCGTATATATATATCTACCACCATCACAAACTATTACATACGCTTCAATTCGACACATTGAAAGGCTCCAAATTTTATATATACTTGATCGTAGCATCTTAAAAGGAAAATTGGTTGACAATTTCCTGAAATATCAAGTTTTTATTTGTTTTGAACTGGGTAACAATTAAAAATTGTCTTGTCTTTGTTTAGCCATGTTAAATGAATTAGTAAATGTTTTAAAGTCCTTAAATTTTCATTCAACCACAAAAAAGAATTGTTTTATTTAAAAAAGAGTTTAATTTGGTCTTAATGAATATTCATAAATTATGTACATATTTCTATTACGCACTGCATCGGTCCTTACTTTAAAAAGATAAGAATAATCAACATAAATTGTTTGAGTAATACGTATAATTTCTGATTTTGAGTTAACATTACTAAATTAATACAAGCTGAAATTACTTAAAGTTCTTATGTATTTGATTTTACTTAAATATTCCACGTATGTTTTACTAAATTGAAAGTTTGAGTTAGCAAGACTTAAATTTAGTGCGTAAGTGGCAAAACTAATGTTTTCAAGTAAATTCTACATGGAAAAAATACGTAAAAATTACCAATGAACAAATTCTTTTTTACAGTGTATATGGTTTTTATTACGCAAAGGAAAATGTAACACATATTAATTACTACTTCGTTATGCTTTATTTGCGATTTAGAAAGCGAGTGCTGTAAATAAATTAAATAAAAATGTAGCAACAAAAGTAATAAGGAAAAGGTGATCTCTTCTGCTATAATACAGACTAGAAGTTGAAGAAAATGAAATAGATGCGAGTACTACTAAGTGTATGTAGATAGCTAAAGATTTATAGGAATTTCAATATCAGATGATATGCTTGTTGTAAATAATTATGTATGGTTACATCCATGACTTTGTATCTGAATAAAGATTCTATCAACAGAAACAAAAAACATAGTGCCTAAGCAATTTTCCAACCAGATAGTTACGAGATATCCGCTAAAAAAGAGTGAAAGTAAGGGAAGAGATGACGGAAAGGGAAAAAGAACGCGGGATAATATAATGACAAAGATTGGTGGAGACGCTCTTCAAAGATTATAATATTATGTGAATCAGTAACGTGGTGTGCTATGAAATCATAGCTTCAAATTTCTTTCGGGTGATCCGTTCTGCGTCATTGATAAAGCATACCGCAGATAAGAAAAAAACTGAAAATATGACTAAACATGCAAGGAAAGAAACAGAAAGAGAGAGAGTATGTATGTGTGTCCGTTTCACATTCACAATTTTAAAAAATTCCCACTTCAAAGGGGCACTTATCCCCATCCAGGCCTAGTCATTACGCCCCCTTTGACCATCTGGTACAGCGTTTATCAACCGGGGTGCCGCGAGAGTATTTTAGTTACATTCAAAATATATTTTGCAATAATAGAATAAACATGATAGAAACAAAGCATCAGTAACCGCAAGATTACCAAATATATATTACTTTGGGTAATTTGAAAAGGAAATAACATTTCAGAGATGGTCAAGTTGAAATTTCCTTGCGCACTTCGGTCCCATGCGAAATTCGGAAACGGGATAGTTTCAGGCAACGAGGTCCATGAATATCCCCATATAATGATATGACGATATTGGGGTACCTCGATGCCCAAATATCGTCATGATTCGGGCGGAATGTTACCTAACGATACCCTCAATTATTGTATTTGCATATATAAATGGAATTTATACCACAACAACCTGTCTTTTTTTTCTCCCCGTTAGCTTCACTTCTCGCAAAATTAAAAAATCGGGATGATTCCCTGCAACAAGATGACCAACAATATAACTTTACATTTTATCAAGTGCATGTTGATAACTAAATAACATTTCTGCAATAATAAAAGTATAACTTTTTTCGCTTGCTCACAATTTTTGGTTTCAGATATTATATTTTCGGGCAAGAGGACCTCACGCGAAAATGTGCTCGTACGTTTAATATGTATACGAGGATTGGAAAAAAGTACTCTCTGATAGAATTCGGATCGGGTTGACGCTTAACTTTGTAACTCCTTAAAGGGAGCCGTGGCTATAATAAAAAGCAGTTGAAAAATGCTGCTCTAGTACACTCAAAACTGGTGCTCCCAATGTCTGAGCCACACTACACCATGTATGCAAATTCATTCCGACATGATCATCAAATTGGAGGAGGTAGTAGACATATTTCGAAAGAGCCATCCAAGGAGGATGATGCTTTGTGTGTTATAGGTAAAGGAAACGATGCAACAGTATAAACATAGGCAGGATACAGTTATTAGCAAAACCGTTTTTTGTTCAAAAATGTGCCTTAAATTTGGGTAAGGGGAGCCCTCCCCCCCCCCCCCACCTCCCTCTCTCTCGCTTTTTGTTTGTGTGGAAAAGTCTACAATTTGTTGTTAAATTCAAAAACTTCATAACGAAAATCAAACCGATCGAGAATTTTGGTTCAATTTTGTTGAAACTTTTCAATTTCGTTGTAAATCAGTCAACCATTATGGCCCGAATTCACAAAGGAAGTTTGTCGACAAGCCGAGGTTTATGTGCGTCATACGACGCGTTTCGACGCGTTTTTACAAACTTTGGTTTGTAAAAAAAACAAAAGGAGGTTTGTCGACAAACCTCCTTTGTGAATTCGGGCCTATGAGTTCCTGAACTTTACGTGTTGATATCTTTAAACCGCATAAATAACAAATAAATGAAATAAATAAGTAAATATAAATAAATGAACGACAGAGGGAGGTATTACGAAACTATAAAAAGAGCCATTTATTTTGGCCAACCCATTTCATTTAGAAGCGTAATGGGCAGGGGCGGCGATCCGGGGGGGGGACACGTCCCCCCCCCCCCCCTCGATTTTTGTAGAGGGGATCGTCCCCCCCCCCCCGGCAAATTTGGTAAAAGTGCAAACAAATAATGTACAGCAAATACTGACTAAAGACTGCAACACACTATTAGGCTTTGGAGGGTCCAAGAGTGCAGCGTTTACACTTAAAAATTAAGCGTTTAGACATAAAAATCCTTTAAAATGTTCAAGTAAATATTGTAGAAAGTAAAGTGTGAAAAAAGTATATTGTTTGTTTTCATATAAAGTTTTTCTAAGGAATATAATTTTGTAATACAACAAAACCTGTGAGGGAGTAGTCACTTTCGTCACCTTCACCCCTCTCGTTTACTATGCTCACTCACTCGGGCTTGGGGCAGTACCCCCCCCCCCCCCCCGATAAAATTCAAACGTGGTTTATTTCTAATTCGATACCAGTGATGGCATGATTTTCTCTGAGCTTTCGGGAGCTTTGCCCTCTTAGACCCACAAAGGGCCCTAAGCCCCCCTGGTTGCTCAGCTGACCATAATTAAAGACCTAAAACCCTGAGCTTCCGGGGACTCCGCCCCCTACACCCCACCAAGGGCTTTAAGGCGGCCCCTGGATGATCATCTGATAAGGTATAAAAATATGCTCATCTGACCCTTATTAAATGCCTAAGAACCTGACCCCCGCCGGGGCTTTGCCCCAGGACCCCACGCCGATTTACGCTCTTGCTTTGCCCTATCTGATCGTAAATACTTTAGCCCCCCCCCCCCCTTCTCATTTCGAAAAACGTTCCGAGGGGCCTGCTCTAACATGTAAAAGCAGTGATGATTCAGATTGTTTTTCTCCCCCCCCCCTAAAAAAAAAAAACGTTTTTGCTCATGACGTCACTCCCCCCCCCCCCCCCCCCCTCCCCGGTCATGAAAAGAAATCGCCGGGCATGTTAGTTGTGAGTTTGCCAAACATGGCAACGTGCGCTATATTGCCTGTTTGTTTATAAGCTTTCCATAAAGGTGAACCGGATCTCCTTGTACCTGCACAACCATCCAGCTGAATAAGCTTACGTCTACCACTCTGTGTATATATATACCCATATTGTTATCAATATATTACATATAAAACGAAAAAGTACATTCACTGAATGAAATTATCGAATTACATTTTACCTTGTTAAACTAGGTCCATGCCCTAGAAAAATTGTCAGGGAAAATAAGGGCATACGTGTTGTATTCACTCGAGAGATATCTAGTTGTCTCTGTTGTGCGGGAAATGAGTTATCATTATTTTGTTTTCTTCAAATTGGGGATGGGTAGCCCTCTAGTGCTGCTAGTCAATTGAGTTTCGATTTGCATGTCCTTTGCCACAGAGGGCGACAATTTTTTTCTTGAAAGTGTCTGTTGTTACGTTCAGCCTGGTAGTGATCGAGCTGGTGATAATTGTCCAAGTCGTTGCCATATGAGGAGTCATCCGGCCTGCAGCACAACTACGTCATCAGTCATCATTCAATGACCTATTTCCCTATTATAATTACAACATTTCAGTACCGCCCTATCATCCATACGTATATATTATGTATCGTATAACAGGCGCATGCGTAGAAAATTTCGAATGACCTCAAGACGGTGTTGCCCTACTTACCGGTAGACCGCTGAGCCTGACTGTCATATCATGGTCCATGGTCATATGCACACCTTAAACTCGCTTACTCTCAGTCTGTTTGACATTTTGACGCGAACATTGTCAGGAACCGCACGGATGTGCGAAATATTTCAGAGCTGATCGGGAAAGTGTTTTCTTATTCATGACTTTTATCTCGCCAGTCCATTCGTGTCTTGTATAAGAGTGACGTGTGGAATATTTTCGTCGCAACGTGATTATTGTTCTTCTTCTCACCTACTTAGTACTACCACTCAGACAAGATGAATCTCCATACTGCATTTTTATTTTTCAGTGTAAGTGAATTTGAGCTCAATTCTAGTTTGATCGTTATTCTCTTCTTCTTCTTCCTCCTCTTCTTTTCCATCTTCTTCTTCTTCTTCTACTTCTTCCTCTTCTCCTTCTACCTTTTCTTATTTTTCTTCTTCTTCTACTTCTTGTTCCTCCTCTACTTCTTCTTATTCTCATTCTTCTCCTTTAGAGTGAAAAAGGAGATTCTCTCTTCATCTCACTTTCCACTCCTCCCACTTTCTCTCTCTCTCTCTCTCTCTTTCCTCTCACTGTTTTGCATACTCTTGCACTCTCTGACCTTAATTTTTGTTCTTGTTTAATTGGATGGGGGCACAAGAAGAACGTGCCCCCATTCGCTACGCCATCGATACGATTCATTTGTTTTTGTCCGATTCTGTCATCTGCATTTCGTCACGCTCATTAGGTAGGGCATGGTATTATATTTTCAAACTATATTTTTGTACTAACCAGATACCCTTGCGTAAATGTATGTTGCATGTATGTTGTCTAAAATGTCTCTCTATAGTTAGTACGATGCTACTACTACTACTACTACTGTTACAACTACTGCTGCTCCTACTACACCTGCTTATACTACTACCCCTACTACTACTACTACTAATATTACTATACTACTACTACTACTACTACTACTGCTACTACTGCTACTACTATTAGGAAATCACTGAAATTATGTTGTGATTAAACTCGCAAATGGTACAGAATGCAATATCAGGTTAACAAAATAATTTCACGGGAATGTCCTTAGTCCATACCCCAACCCCCCTAAAAAATACGCTGTATAGAACTGTAGAATGGTAATAAGACTTATACAATGTTTCTTATTTCCCTAATAATCTTGAATGACAAGCGAATCGTAGAGTTATGACACAGTTTAATGCTTATTAGCGTATCACTCAGGACAATTACCCCCTAGACAAATAACCCCTGGAAAACTACCCCCCCCCCCCCAGGACAATTATCCCCTGAAAAATTACCGCTTTGCACAATTATCCCACGTGGACAATTACCCCCCCCCCCCCCCGCCCCCGTGAACAATTATCTCCTACCCCTGAAAGTTACCCCCCCCCCCCCGAAAATTACCTTCAGTTCATTAAAGTGGAAGTACACCCTAAACATGGTTTGGTTTTAGGAACAGCATTAATGTGTTGTTTACTTTATTTCTTCAAGTATTTACAATATTAGAAGAATGTCTATTTGTCATGGTAAGCACAATTTATTTTAATTAAAAGCATTTCATTTGATTTGTAAAAAAAGACAATACAAATTTATTATTAGGGTGTCATAATGTTTGTTAATTAAGACTTTCTTTTAAAGATGGATTAATTCATTAAAAACGACCATCAGACGATTTCTGGATGTAGCCCCAGGCCTTTCCCAGTAAACACTCTGTTCAAATAAAAATGCATGTAGTTTTATCAGTTTCTATTCATATACCTAGAAAACAAAGCCATAATGTCATATGAAAGTACACTATTGACAGGCGAGATTGAAAATAATAGCTTTTGGTTCAAACAAAGCCATCGTGTCATATAATAAAAAGCAATTTGTTGACAAGCAAGATTGAAGATTTTTTTTCTCCAATTATTTCAAACCTTGTTTTGACAAGACTCACATAATCATATGAATTGTATTTTTATATCCCTCGATTGAAAATACTTGTTTTCAGTGTCAGTTCATTATAAAATAAAGTTGAATTTTGGTCACGCGATTACATTCTGGACATTTGTTGTTGTTTAGAGGTTGGTTGTGTAGTACAACCAGTGTATATTGCGAGCTTTTTACATACTAACATTGATAAGAAATCAATAATCTTGAATGGTAGTCACGGGCACTGCACATAATCGGGCATATGGGACTACACATACATGTGAGCTTTGGTCAAGGTCTTGTAGCTATTTCTTGTCGTATTTCGAAACATGGCTTTCTAGCCATAAACATATACAAAAAACATTGTTCCCTTTAGCCGGTACAAGTGCAATTCAATGTGATAGCAGTAGTTTTTAGTTTCAATTTTTTTAACAAAGAAACAAAAAATGTACAAGTGCAATTCAATGTGATAGCAGTAGTTTTTAGTTTCAATTTTTTTAACAAAGAAACAATCTTTGATTGTCCGGGGATAATTTGCCAGCTGGTAATTGGCCGGGGGGCGATTGTCCAGGGAGTAATTGTCCTATAACACTTTTGGACATGCTGGATATTTGACTGCAAGGCGCATGCGTTTCCATGTGTACTTTGAAAGAAGGAGTAGAATATACTGGCAATTAAACTGTGAAAGAACCAGTTTGGAGGCAATAAACCCTGTTTACTAACTTATGCACACTTTCATACAAATTTTCTCTTGACAACTAAAAAACTTGCCTGAGGCTTATCCGACTTAGCAACACATAATACATGTTAATTATCTAATACACTTGATTAAATACTCAAAGGATCACATTAATATTATTCAGAGAAATATCGTGAAAATTATCCCAAATGAATTTAACATCCTCCAGTTGTACAGCTTCCAAGCTTCAGTCTAATGCGAGTTTTAATTTGGAGTTATTATCAATCGAAAGTCTTACTTTTATATTTTGTATCTTGTCATAATTGATCATACCAGGTATATAATGTATATTCGAGTTCATTTATGTCTCGGGATTGATGTTCGTTATTTCCTTTAGTATATTTGAATATAACATGCGAATTGTTTAGTTATTTCACAGTCTAATGCATTTGGATGTGTGATTACCAGGCAATCATGTGCTTCCATGTGCGTTAAATTGCAAGCCATGAAACTCAATCTTCAGAAGACCTGTGAGTAAAGAGGTAGTTAGTTGCCTCCTGTTACTGGAATGCAGGGAACGTACAACCACCCCTTAGACATTCTTGTTCACAACGTTCCCGTTATAATAAGCCAACAGAAATCAATTTGTTGTTCAATCGGCACTCCAGCAGGCCATCAAGTATGTCTGCCTGTCTCTTTCTCTCCTTCTCTCACTCTAAATTCAACTACATATTTATAGTTGAATTTAGAGAGAGAGAAGGGGGGGAAGAGACAGGCAGACAGACATAGACAGAGACATACAGACAGACAAAGGCAGTGACGAACATACAGACAGACCCCAAATAATGATGTTAGGAAATGTCCATTCATTCATTCAAAATTGTGAAATCTTAAAGATAAAGTTGAGTTCTGGTCATGCGATTGCATTGTGAAAGAAACGGTGTGGAATCACAAAAGATTGATCATCTAGCATATAAGTATTGGCGTGTACTGCAAGGTTCTGGAACCCTCAAAATGATAAGAAATTTAGCCCAGTCCTGGTAAAAGAAACAAGCGATGTACACAGAAAAGCTTATATGGGACTACACAATCATATGGCATAAAAGATGAGGCTCATTTTTTAAAGCTGTTATCTGTCATATCTACATCAAGGCATTTAAAGAGCCATGCTTTTCAGGGAACATTTATGTTCTCCCACAATCGCATAATAGCAATGAAAACACTCACAAATTATTTTGTTCAGCTCTCCCCAGAACTCAACCTTCTCTTGAAATGTAGCCATAACGTTAGATGAATCCCGGAATGTATGTTTTCCTTTCCAACCATGCAGACACACCATAAAAACATGTATAATCCTAGTGTATAATGTTTTATTTCAAATCCTGTGTAAAACAAATGTATTTCTTCATCAATAACTAGCAAAATAACAAATTATTATTTTCAGTAAAGAGCGAATAAAAGGGGACCTCGACATGTGTGCGTCGTGGTTTATGGGATTTGGTCTCTTTATTTTTCTTAACTAATTAGACATAAGAGTTGTTGTTCCCTTTAGATCATAATCTATAGAAAATTAGAACTCATCTATTCTTGGCCTAAGATAGAGGGCTATTTCAATCCAATATACAATAACAAATTCCTATAATTCCAAATCTTCTTTGAAGAGGACATGATTACAAGGAAAAGTTTTTGCAATAATAGAATAATCATAATCATAATCATTTGGAGTGGCTTCTAGCATCTTGAAGTACAAGATTGGCTCATTTACAGGCAGGTGTTGTTTGAGTGCAGTAATTAGGGAAAATTAGGGGAAATGCATGAGAAAAAAATTGACCAACGCCCCTAATTAAAAAAAAAAGCCTGATCGTCCTTTAATGTATTGTTTAACAATGCTTCCAGTTTTATTAATCTGTGATGCATGGCCCTATACCCGTTATCAGTGTCACTGATATAGTGTAATATTAAAGCCCTACAAATATTGCGCTTGAACTAATGATCATGAAATGCTTTAAAAAAAGTAGAAATCTTTGAGTAACCGTTTTTACCCAAATAGGTTTTCCCCAATAGACTAAAGTGTTGTTCAAAGCTGTTTTGCAAACAGTTTTTGGCATTTTTTTTTATTCCAATCATAAATATATTGATAATTAAACGGGCAATCGGCTTGTAAAAGTCATGGTATTCCTGACTGACCTAAAGATGTATAATTATGATTGCAGCATGAGCTTAATCCAGGATTTTGTTTAAAATCTGAGGCAAAGATACCCGATCCCTTTAAAAGAATATTTATGTTCGTTGAAAAGGTAAACACTGTAATATCATAGGGAAAATACGCGAATATGAACTGAAAAAAACATCAATCTCGGACCGGTACTTGTAATTCTATCTGCTTGTGAGAGACTTCAAATTCTTCTTAAAAATATAAAACGATAATATAAAATACGATGATAGATTACTAGGTATTTCCTTTACATACGCGGATATAAAGTAGAAAAATATCAATCTCAGAGCGGTATATGTTATTCCATCTGCTGGTAACACCTTATAATTCTACTTAAACGTGAAACGAAGCTTGACTGAAGTTCGATCATGGGTTACTGGGTATTTCCTTGACAGAATCGTTTTCATTTTGCAAACAAAATGTGGCTCAAATTGAAAGACAATAGTAAATAGAAAATAAAGTTAATTACAACAGTTGAAATATTATGATATCAGTACGGT